CACACGAAAGCGAAGTCTTTAAATTATTCATAATGACGGCTATGCAACTCACTACTGAGACATCTCGTTGGACATTTTCTACACTGTTTAGGTCTTCGTTTAAATATGGTCTTAAATTTTTGATCAGCTAGTATTTAACCTAATTTCCCAGTATTCCAATTTTCCCCAGTAAATGCTAAACAAATGTTTTTTTTAATTTTTATTTTTTTCTTGACTTACTCAAGTACCCAAATAAGTGGTTGAGTTTAACTAAGCAAAAATACATTTTTCGTTATTTTCATTGGCCCTAAGATATTGGCCTTGTATAGACTTGAATCTTAAGCATTTTTATATAAGTGATCCAGTGATCAGCAAGATGTCTACAGAGCAGTTACGGTACAAGAAATCAGAAAATAAGTGTACATTCTATATGCAAAGATTAATAAAAAGATATGGTGGGAGGACAGAAAATCGGTATCAATTCACAGGAGAGTTCATAAATGGAGAAAGACAAAAAGTGTGTAGATATCTGGGCATTTAATGCTATAACTTGTATGTCTTTGTGTATATATGCTTGTATTTTTTTGGGAACAAGAGAAAGGATTTGAACGCGTGTATAAGTGCATGTGTGAATGCTGGCTTCTGTGTTTCAGAGACGGAAGATAAAGTTAACTTTGAAGTTTGGCGTTCATTTGATAGTAGTAAAATTGACAAGTGAGGCCAGCTAATCTGTCGCTCTCTGTTTCCCATATCTGTTTCTTTTTCGTATTTATTCCATCTCTCTCTATCAAGCTTTCTCTATCTAGCTTTCTCTCTTTCTCTCTATCACTCTCAAACACACATACATTCTCTCGCCCTTATTGTGTGTTTACCATTCTTGGTTCTTCTTTAGATCATTATGTTTTCTTTCACTATTTTACTCTTAATTCTCTTTTTTCTATTTCTTTTTCACTTTCTTTCTAGTTGTCTATTTCTCATTCTCTATCATATTCTTTCTCTCTTACATTCGTTTCCGCTTTCGCCTTTTCTCTCATTCTCTTTTTCCCCTCTCTATTTCTTTTGTTTTACTCTTACGTACTTCCTCGTTAATTTTCCTTTTTTTACCTCCTTTAATATCCTTTTTTGCAACCAACTTTATTTATGTATACCCATTTTCTTTCTTTGCCTTTATTTTATCGCTGTCTTTATTTATACGCGATCCCGCAGTGTATTTCATTCTTTGCCTTACTTTCACGCTTTTTCCAATGTCTTACTTTCTTTGCCTTTCTTTCTCGCTTTCCCCAATGTCTTTCTTCCTTTGCCTTTCTTTCTCGCTTTCTCCAACGTCTTTCTTTCTTTGCCGTTCTTTCTCGCTTTCCGCAATGTCTTTCTTTCTTTGCCTTTCTTTCTCGCTTTCCCCAATGTTTTTCTTTCTTTGCCTTTCTTTCTCGCTTTCCGCAATGTCTTTCTTTCTTTGCCTTCCTTTCTCGCTTTCCCCAATGTCTTTCTTTCTTTGCCTTTCTTTCTCGCTTTCCCCAATGTCTTTCTTTCTTTGCCTTTCTTTCTCGCTTTCCCCAATGTCTTTCTTTCTTTGCCGTTCTTTCTCGCTTTCCGCAATGTCTTTCTTTCTTTGCCTTTCTTTCTCGCTTTCCCCAATGTCTTTCTTTCTTTGCCTTTCTTTCTCGCTTTCTCCAATGTCTTTCATTCTTTGCCTTTCTTTCTCGCTTTCCCTAATGTCTTTCTTCCTTTGACTTTCTTTCTCGCTTTCCCCAATGTCTTTCTTTCTTTGCCGTTCTTTCTCGCTTTCCGCAATGTCTTTCTTTCTTTGCCGTTCTTTCTCGCTTTCCCCAATGTTTTTCTTTCTTTGCCTTTCTTTCTCGCTTTCCCCAATGTCTTTCTTCCTTTGCCTTCCTTTCTCGTTTTCCCCAGTGTCTTTCTTTCATTGATTTTCTTTCTCGCTTTCCCCAATGTATTTCTTTCTTTGCCGTTCTTTCTCGCTTTCCCCAATGTCTTTCTTTCTTTCTCCTTTCTTTCTTTCTTTCCCCAATGTCTTTCTTTGTTTTCCTTTTTGCTTTCTTTCTCTTTCCCCAATGTCTTTCTTTTCTTTTTCCTTTCTTTCTCCTTTCCCCAATGTCTTTTCTTTCTTTTTTCTTTCTTTCTCCTTTCCCCAATGTCTTTCTTTCTTTGCCTTTCTTTCTCCTTTCCCCAATGTCTTTCTTTCTTTGCCTTTCTTTCTCGCTTTCCCCAATGTCTTTCTTCCTTTGCCTTTCTTTCTCGCTTTCCCCAATGTCTTTCTTTCTTTGCCTTTCTTTCTCGCTTTCCCCAATGTCTTTCTATCATTGCCTTTCTTTCTCGCTTTCCCCAATGTCTTTCTTTCTTTGTTTTCTTTCTCGCTTTCCCCAATGTCTTTCTTTCTTTGCCTTTCTTTCTCCCTTTCCCCAATGTCTTTCTTTCTTTGCTGTTCTTTCTTGGTTTCCACAATATCTTTCTTTCTTTGCCTTTCTTTCTCGCTTTCCCCAATGTCTTTCTTTCTTTGCCTTTCTTTCTCGCTTTCTCCAATGTCTTTCTTTCATTGATTTTCTTTCTCGCTTTCCCCAATGTCTTTATTTTTTGCCTTTCATTCTCGCTTTCCCCAATGTCTTTATTTCTTTGACTTTCTTTCTCGCTTTCCCCAATGTCTTTCTTCCTTTGCCTTTCTTTCTCGCTTTCCCCAATGTCTTTATTTCTTTGCCTTTCTTTCTCGCTTTCCCCAATGTCTTTCTTTCTTTGCCTTTCTTTCTCGCTTTCCCCAATGTCTTTCTTTCTTTGCCTTTCTTTCTCGCTTTCCCCAATGTCTTTCTTTCTTTGCCTTCCTGTCTCGCTTTCCCCAATGTCTTTATTTCTTTGCCTTTCTTTCTCGCTTTCCCCAATGTCTTTCTTTGTTTGCCTTTCTTTCTCGCTTTCCCTAATGTCTTTCTTTGTTTGCCTTTCTTTCTCCTTTCCCCAATGTCTTTCTTTTGCTTTTTCTTTCTTTTCTTTTGTCTTTCTTTCTTTCTTTCCCCCCAATGTCTTTCTTTCTTTGCCTTTCTTTCTTCCTTTTTCCCAATGTCTTTCTTTGTTTGCTTTCTTTCTCGCCTTCTTTCTTTCTTTGCCTTTTTTCCCCAGTGTCTTTCTTTCATTGATTTTTTTTCTTTCTTTCCCCAATGTCTTTCTTTTTTTCCGTTCTTTCTCGCTTTCCCTAATGTCTTTTCTTTGCCTTTCTTTCTTTGCCTTTTTCTTTCTTTCCTTTCCCCAATGTCTTTTCTTTCTTTTGCCTTTCTTTTCTCGCTTTCCCAATGTCTTTCTTTCTTTGCTTTCTTTTCTCGCTTTCCCCAATGTCTTTCTTTCTTTGGCTTCCTTTCTCGTTTTTCCCCAGTGTCTTTCTTTCATTGATTTTCTTTCTCGCTTTCCCCAATGTCTTTCTTTCTTTGCCTTTCTTTCTCGCTTTCCCCAATGTCTTTCTTTCTTTGCCTTTCTTTCTCCTTTTTCCCAATGTCTTTCTTTCTTTGATTTTTCTTTCTCTTTTTTTCCCATTGTCTTTCTTTCTTTGCCTTTCTTTCTCGCTTTCCAATGTCTTTCTTTGTTTTGCCTTTTTCTTTCTTTTTCTTTCTTTCCCCAATTTCTTTCTTTCTTTGCCTTTATTTCTCGCTTTCCCAATGTCTTTCTTTCTTTGCTTTTCTTTCGCTTTCCCCAATGTCTTTCTTTGTTTTGCCTTTCTTTTCTCTCTTTTCCCAATGTCTTTCTTTGTTTTTTTTCTTTCTCCTTTCCCCAATGTCTTTCTTTCTTTGCCTTTCTTTCTCCTTTCCCCAATGTCTTTCTTTCTTTGCCTTTCTTTCTCCTTTCTTTCCCAATTCTTTCTTTCCCCAATTCTTTTTTTTTGTTTTCTTTTTTTCCTTTCTTTCTTTTTCCCCAATGTCTTTCTTTCATTGCCTTTCTTTCTCCTTTCCCCAATGTCTTTCTTTTTTTTTGCCTTTCTTTCTCATTTTCCTTTTTGTCTTTCTTTCTTTGCCTTTCTTTCCCCCATGTCTTTCTTTCCCCTTTCTTTTCTTTCTTTCTTTCTTTGCCTTTCTTTCCCAATTCCCCAATGTCTTTCTTTCTTTTGCCTTTCTTTCTTTCCCCTTTCCCCAATGTCTTTCTTTTTTTTGCTGTTCTTTCTTGGTTTCCCCTAATATCTTTCTTTTCTTTTCTTTTCTTTGCCTTTCTTTCTTTTTTCTTTGCTTTCCCCAATGTCTTTCTTTCTTTGCCTTTTTTCTTTTCGCTTTCTCCAATGTCTTTCTTTCATTGATTTTCTTTCTCCTTTTCCCCAATGTCTTTATTTTTTGCCTTTCATTCTCCTTTCCCCAATGTCTTTTATTTCTTTGACTTTCTTTCTCGCTTTCCCCAATGTCTTTTCTTTCTTTGCCTTTCTTTTCGCTTTCCCCAAATGTCTTTTTTTTTTCTTTTGCCTTTCTTTCTCGCTTTCCCCAATGTCTTTCTTTCTTTTTCCCTTTCTTTCTCCTTTCTTTCTTTCTTTCTTTCTTTTGCCTTTCTTTCTCCCCCAATGTCTTTCTTTCTTTTGCCTTTCTTTCTCTCCTTTCCCCAATGTCTTTTCTTTCTTTGCCTTTCTTTCTCCTTTCCCCAATGTCTTTCTTTCTTTGCCTTTTCTTTCTCGCTTTCCCCAATGTCTTTCTTTTCTTTTTTTAATTTCTTTTCTCGCTTTTTTTCCCAATGTCTTTCTTTCTTTGCCTTTTCTTTCTCCTTTCCCCCAATGTCTTTCTTTCTTTCTTTCTCTTTTCCTTTTTCTTTCTTTGCCTTTCTTTCCCGCTTTCCAATGTCTTTCTTTCTTTGCCTTTCTTTCTCCTTTCCCCAATGTCTTTCTTTCTTTGCCTTTCCTTTCTCGCTTTCCCCAATGTCTTTCTTTCTTTTGCCTTTCTTTCTCCTTTCCCCAATGTCTTTCTTTCTTTGCTTTCTTTCTTTCCCCAATTTCTTTTCTTTCTTTTTTCCCAGTTTCTTTCTTTCATTGATTTTCTTTCTCGCTTTCCCCAATGTCTTTCTTTCTTTTGCCTTTCTTCTCTTTCCCCAGTGTCTTTCTTTTTCTTTGCCTTTTCTTTCTTTCTTTTTCCCCAATGTCTTTCTTTCTTTGCCTTTTCATTTCTCCTTTCCCCAATGTCTTTCTTTTCTTTGCCTTTCTTTCTTTCTTTCCCCAATGTCTTTCTTTCATTGCCTTTTTTTCTCTTTTCCCCAATGTCTTTCTTTTTTTGCCTTTTCTTTTCTCGCTTTCCCCAATGTCTTTCTTTCATTGCCTTTTTCTTTCTCACTTTCCCCAATGTCTTTCTTTTTTTGCCTTTCTTTCTCGCTTTCCCCAATGTCTTTCTTTCATTGCCTTTCTTTCTCCTTTTCCCCAATGTCTTTCTTTCTTTTGCCTTTCTTTCTCTCCTTTTTCCCAATGTCTTTCTTTCATTGCCTTTCTTTCTCGTTTCCCCAATGTCTTTCTTTCTTTGCCTTTCTTTCTCCTTTTCCCAATGTCTTTCTTTCTTTGCCTTTCTTTCTCCTTTCCCCAATGTCTTTCTTTCTTTGCCTTTCTTTCTTTCTTTCCCCAATGTCTTTCTTTTCCTTTTCTTTCTCCTTTCCCCAATGTCTTTCTTTCTTTGCCAATCTTTCTCTTTCCCCAATGTCTTTCTTTTTTGCTTTTCTTTCTTTTCCCCAATGTCTTTCTTTCTTTGCCTTTCTTTCTCCTTTTCCCCAATGTCTTTCTTTCTTTTGCCTTTCTTTTCTTTCGCTTTCCCCAATGTCTTTCTTTTTTGCCTTTCTTTCTCCTTTTCCCAATGTCTTTCTTTTTTTTGCCTTTCTTTCTCCTTTCCTTTCTTTCTTTCTTTTTTGCCTTTCTTTTCTCGCTTTCCCCAATGTCTTTCTTTTTTTGCCTTTCTTTCTCCTTTCCCCAATGTCTTTCTTTCTTTGCCTTTCTTTCTCTTTCCCCAATGTCTTTCCCCTTTCTTTCTCGCTTTCCCAATGTCTTTCTTTCTTTGCCTTTCTTTCTCACTTTCCCCAATGTCTTTCTTTCTTTTTGCCTTTCTTTCTCCTTTCCCCAATGTCTTTCTTTTTTTGCCTTTCTTTCTCGCTTTCCCCAATGTCTTTCTTTCTTTGCCTTTCTTTCTCCTTTCCCCAATGTCTTTTCTTTCTTTTGCCTTTCTTTCTTTTTCCCCAATGTCTTTCTTTGTTTGCCTTTCTTTCTCCTTTTCCCAATGTCTTTCTTTGTTTGCCTTTCTTTCTCGCTTTCCCAATGTCTTTCTTTCTTTTGCCTTTCTTTCTTTTTTCCCCAATGTCTTTCTTTGTTTGCCTTTCTTTCTCCTTTCCCCAATGTCTTTCTTTTTTGTTTGCCTTTTTTCTTTCTCGCTTTCCCCAATGTCTTTCTTTTCTTTGCCTTTCTTTCTCCTTTCCCCAATGTCTTTCTTTGTTTGCCTTTCTTTTCTCCTTTCCCCAATGTCTTTCTTTCTTTGCCTTTCTTTCTCTCTTTCCCCAATGTCTTTCTTTGTTTGCCTTTCTTTCTCCCTTTCCCCAATGTCTTTCTTTCTTTGCCTTTCTTTCTCTCTTTCCCCAATGTCTTTCTTTCTTTGCCTTTCTTTCTCCTTTCCCCAATGTCTTTCTTTCTTTTTTCTTTCTCGCTTTCCTTTTCTTTCTTTCTTTCCCCAATGTCTTTCTTTCTTTTGCCTTTCTTTCTCCGCTTTCCCCAATGTCTTTCTTTCATTGCCTTTCTTTCTCCTTTCCCCAATGTCTTTCTTTCTTTGCCTTTCTTTGGTCTTTCTTTCTTTTTTTTCCCCAATGTCTTTCTTTCTTTGCCTTTCTTTCTCTCTTTTCCCAATGTCTTTCTTTCTTTTGCCTTTTCTTTCTCTTTTTCCCCAATGTCTTTCTTTTTTGCCTTTCTTTCTCGCTTTCCCCAATGTCTTTCTTTTTTGCCTTTCTTTCTCCTTTCCCCAATGTCTTTCTTTCCTTTCTTTCTCCTTTCCCAATGTCTTTCTTTCTTTGCCTTTCTTTCTTGTTTTCCCCAATGTCTTTCTTTGTTTGCCTTTCTTTCTCGCTTTCCCCAATGTCTTTCTTTCTTTGCCTTTCTTTCTCGCTTTCCCCAATGTCTTTCTTTCTTTGCCTTTCTTTCTCGCTTTCCCCAATGTCTTTCTTTCTTTGCCTTTCTTTCTCGCTTTCCCCAATGTCTTTCTTTCTTTGCCTTTCTTTCTCGCTTTCCCCAATGTCTTTCTTTGTTTGCCTTTCTTTCTCGCTTTCCCCAATGTCTTTCTTTCTTTGCCTTTCTTTCTCCTTTCCCCAATGTCTTTCTTTTTCTTTGCCTTTCTTTCTCGCTTTCCCCAATGTCTTTCTTTCTTTGCCTTTTCTTTCTCCTTTCCCCAATGTCTTTCTTTTTCTTTGCCTTTTTTCTTTCTTTTTTCCCCAATTGTCTTTCTTTCATTGATTTTCTTTCTTTCCTCTTTCCCCAATGTCTTTCTTTCTTTTTTCTTTCTTTTCCCCAATGTTTTCTTTCCCCAGTGTTCTCTTTCCCCAATGTCTTTCTTTCTTTTTCTTTCTTTCTCGCTTTTCCAATGTCTTTCTTTCTTTGCCTTTTCTTTTCTCCTTTCCCCAATGTCTTTCTTTCTTTTGCCTTTCATTCTTTCTTTCCCAATTTCTTTCTTTCTTTCTTTGCCTTTCTTTCTCCCTTTCCCCAATGTCTTTCTTTCTTTGCCTTTCTTTCTCGCTTTCCCCAATGTCTTTCTTTCTTTGGCTTTCTTTCTCCTTTTCCCCAGTGTCTTTCTTTCATTTTTTCTTTCTCCTTTCCCCAATGTCTTTCTTTCTTTGCTTTTCTTTCTCCTTTCCCAATGTCTTTCTTTCTTTGCCTTTCTTTCTCGCTTTCTCCAATGTCTTTCTTTTCATTGATTTTCTTTCTCCTTTTCCCAATGTCTTTCTTTGTTTGCCTTTCATTCTCTTTTCTTTTGCTTTCCCCAATGTCTTTATTTCTTTGCCTTTCTTTCTCCTTTCCCCAATGTCTTTCTTTCTTTGCCTTTCTTTTTTTCGTCTTTCCCCAATGTCTTTCTTCCTTTGCCTTTCTTTTCTTTCTCGCTTTCCCCAATGTCTTTCTTTCTTTTGCCTTTCTTTCTTTTCTCCTTTCCCAATGTCTTTCTTTTTCTTTCTTTTTTGCCTTTCTTTCTCCTTTCCCCAATGTCTTTCTTTCTTTGCCTTTCTTTCTCCTTTCCCCAATGTCTTTCTTTCTTTGCCTTCCTTTCTCGCTTTCCCCAATGTCTTCCTTTCTTTGCCGTTCTTTTCTCCTTTCCCCAATGTCTTTCTTTGTTTGCCTTTCTTTCTCCTTTCCCCAATGTCTTTCTTTGCTTTTCCTTTCTTTCTCCTTTCCCCAATGTCTTTCTTTCTTTGCCTTTCTTTCTCCTTTCCCCAATGTCTTTTTTCTTTGCCTTCCTTTCTCGTTTTCCCCAATGTCTTTCTTTCATTGTCTTTTTTCTTTCTCGCTTTCCCCAATGTCTTTCTTTTTTCTTTGCCTTTCTTTCTCGCTTTCCCCAATGTCTTTCTTTCTTTTGCCTTTTCTTTCTCGCTTTCCCAGTGTCTTTCTTTCATTGATTTTCTTTCTCCTTTCCCCAATGTCTTTCTTTTCTTTGCCTTTCATTCTCCTTTCCCCAATGTCTTTCTTTGTTTGCCTTTCTTTCTTTTCCCCAGTGTCTTTCCCCAATGTCTTTCTTTTTTTGCCTTTCTTTCTCCTTTCCCCAATGTCTTTCTTTTCATTGATTTTTTCTCTTTCTTTCCCCAATGTCTTTCTTTGTTTGCCTTTCTTTTCTCCTTTCCCCAATGTCTTTCTTTTTTGTTTGCCTTTCTTTCTCCTTTCCCCAATGTCTTTCTTTTTTTTGCCTTTCTTTCTCCTTTCCCAATGTCTTTCTTTCTTTGCCTTTCTTTCTCGCTTTCCCCAATGTCTTTCTTTCTTTGCCTTTCTTTCTCGCTTTCCCCAATGTCTTTCTATCATTGCCTTTCTTTCTCGCTTTCCCCAATGTCTTTCTTTCTTTGCCTTTCTTTCTCGTTTTCCCCAATGTCTTTCTATCATTGCCTTTCTTCTCCTTTCCCCAATGTCTTTCTTTCTTTTGCCTTTCTTTCTCCTTTTCCCAATGTCTTTCTTTCTTTGCCTTTCTTTCTCGCTTTCCCCAATGTCTTTCTTTCATTGCCTTTATTTCTCGCTTTCCCCAATGTCTTTCTTTCTTTGCCTTTCTTTCTCGTTTTCCCCAATGTCTTTCTATCATTGCCTTTCTTTCTCGCTTTCCCCAATGTCTTTCTTTCTTTGCCTTTCTTTCTCGCTTTCCCCAATGTCTTTCTTTCTTTGCCTTTCTTTCTCGCTTTCCCCAATGTCTTTCTTTCTTTGCTGTTCTTTCTTGGTTTCCACAATATCTTTCTTTCTTTGCCTTTCTTTCTCGCTTTCCCGAATGTCTTTCTTTCTTTGCCTTTCTTTCTCGCTTTCTCCAATGTCTTTCTTTCATTGATTTTCTTTCTCGCTTTCCCCAATGTCTTTATTTTTTGCCTTTCATTCTCGCTTTCCCCAATGTCTTTATTTCTTTGACTTTCTTTCTCGCTTTCCCCAATGTCTTTCTTCCTTTGCCTTTCTTTCTCGCTTTCCCCAATGTCTTTATTTCTTTGCCTTTCTTTCTCTCCTTTCCCCAATGTCTTTCTTTCTTTGCCTTTCTTTCTCCTTTCCCCAATGTCTTTCTTTCTTTTGCCTTTCTTTCTCCTTTCCCCAGTGTCTTTCTTTCTTTGTCTTTCTTTCTCGCTTTCCCCAATGTCTTTCTTTCTTTGCCTTCCTTTCTCGCTTTCCCCAATGTCTTTCTTTCTTTGCCGTTCTTTCTCGCTTTCCCCAATGTCTTTCTTTCTTTGCCTTTCTTTCTCGCTTTCCCCAATGTCTTTCTTTCTTTGCCTTTCTTTCTCGCTTTCCCCAATGTCTTTCTTTCTTTGCTGTTCTTTCTTGGTTTCCACAATATCTTTCTTTCTTTGCCTTTCTTTCTCGCTTTCCCCAATGTCTTTCTTTCTTTGCCTTTCTTTCTCGCTTTCCCCAATGTCTTTCTTTCTTTGCCTTCCTTTCTCGTTTTCCCCAGTGTCTTTCTTTCATTGATTTTCTTTCTCGCTTTCCCCAATGTCTTTCTTTCTTTGCCGTTCTTTCTCGCTTTCCCCAATGTCTTTCTTTCTTTGCCTTTCTTTCTCGCTTTCCCCAGTGTCTTTCTTTCATTGATTTTCTTTCTCGCTTTCCCCAATGTCTTTCTTTCTTTGCCTTTCATTCTCGCTTTCCCCAATGTCTTTCTTTGTTTGCCTTTCTTTCTTGCTTTCCCCAATGTCTTTCTTTCATTGCCTTTATTTCTCGCTTTCCCCAATGTCTTTCTTTCTTTGCCTTTCTTTCTCGCTTTCCCCAGTGTCTTTCTTTCATTGATTTTCTTTCTCGCTTTCCCCAATGTCTTTCTTTGTTTGCCTTTCTTTCTCGCTTTCCCCAATGTCTTTCTTTCATTGCCTTTCTTTCTCGCTTTCCCCAATGTCTTTCTTTCTTTGCCTTTCTTTCTCGTTTTCCCCAATGTCTTTCTATCATTGCCTTTCTTTCTCGTTTTCCCCAATGTCTTTCTATCATTGCCTTTCTTTCTCGCTTTCCCCAATGTCTTTCTTTCTTTGCCTTTCTTTCTCGCTTTCCCCAATGTCTTTCTTTCTTTGCCTTTCTTTCTCGCTTTCCCCAATGTCTTTCTTTCATTGCCTTTATTTCTCGCTTTCCCCAATGTCTTTCTTTCATTGCCTTTCTTTCTCGCTTTCCCCAATGTCTTTCTTTCTTTGCCTTTCTTTCTCCTTTCCCCAATGTCTTTCTTTCTTTTGCCTTTCTTTCTCCTTTCCCCAATGTCATTCTTTCTTTGCCTTTCTTTCTCGCTTTCCCCAATGTCTTTCTTTCTTTGCCTTTCTTTCTCGCTTTCCCCAATGTCTTTCTTCCTTTGCCTTTCTTTCTCGCTTTCCCCAATGTCTTTCTTTCATTGCCTTTCTTTCTCGCTTTCCCCAATGTCTTTCTTTCATTGCCTTTATTTCTCCTTTCCCCAATGTCTTTCTTTTTCTTTGCCTTTCTTTCTCCTTTCCCCAATGTCTTTCTTTCTTTTTGCCTTTCTTTCTCGCTTTCCCCAATGTCTTTCTTTCTTTGCCTTTCTTTCTCGCTTTCCCCAATGTCTTTCTTTCTTTGCCTTTCTTTCTCACTTTCTCCAATGTCATTTTTTCTTTGCCTTTCCTTATCACTTTCCCAGTTTCATTTTTTGTTTGCTTTCTTTCTCATTTCCCCTTCCAACCTTGTCTTAGTTTCCCGCTTTCCCCATTTTCTTTCCTTTTTCACCTTTACTTATTACTTTCGCCATTGTCTTTCTTTCTTTGCCTTTCTTTCTCCCATTCCTAGTGTCTTTCTTTCTTTAAATTTCTTCCTCGCTCTCCCCATTGTCTTTCATATTTTGCCTTTCTTTCTCGCTTTCACTAGTATCTTTCTTTCTTTGCCCTCCTTTCTCGCTTTCTCCAGTTTCTATTTTTGCCTTTCTTACCTGCTTTTCTCAGTGTCTTTCTTTCTTTTATTTCGTGGTTGTTTGCTATTTCTTTGTCTCATTTTTATTTCTCTTTCCCTATTTCATCCTCTCACTTTTTCTTTGTCTCTTCCTTTCTTTTCTTTCTTAATCCCCCCCTCTTCTTTTATTGTCACCTTTTCTCATTCTCACTCATTCTCTTCCTTTCTGATCTCTTTATCTAATTTCATTCCCGCATATTCATTTAATTTAGTATATTTTCTTATCTATCCTTTCTCAATTTGTTTCTCTTTTTTCTTTCTCTCATTTACATTTTTCGCTCCAACTATTTTTTTACTGCAATGCTCCTCTACTCGCTTCAGTCTCTTTAATTAGGATTCTTCCTGCCCCCTTTTCTCTTCTTTCTTTCTTTCTTTCTTTGTCCTCTCTTACTAGCGCTTTCTTTCTTTCTTTCTTTGTCCATTCTCATCATTTCTTTTTTTATTTCTTTCTAGTTTTTTTCTTTCTTTCTTTGTCCTCTCTTATCAATTCTCGCCTTGTTTATTTATTTGTCCTCACTTACCAATTATTTCTCTCTTTCTTTTGCTGTCTCATTCTTTGTCTCTCTCTCTCTCTCCTCAGTTGCATGTATTTCTATTTAAACTTTGATTTGTTTCACGCTTTCTGTCTCTTTACGCTGCTTTGCATCGTCTAAGCCTTTAACGCAAATGTTTAAAGCATTGGACCAAAATAGTTTGTGTTTCTGTAAAATAACTGAGTATTTGGTCTCTAAAAAATTTGAATCATCTAGCCACGGTTGAACCAGATTTGAAACTGCGTTTAAAATTTATTTCATAATTTAACCAGATGGAGACTGCTAATTTTAAAACCAAAATGTTCAACATTGATTACAGCATAAAATAGAAAATGCTAACAGGAAATATAGGTTCCTCGTGAGATTTCGCTTGATAAACGAACAGAAAAGTCAGCATTGCTTTTTAACCATCAATGCCACACTTTTACTTTAGCATTACAGGTGAGGAAAAATGAGTTTTGCAGGTAAATGGAAAACAAAACCACAGTAGTTATAAAATGAAAACAGTGTCAACACCAACACCAGAACTTCATCCACTAAATTCTTTCTTTGCTTTGCTTTGTGGAATATGAACGACGTCTTCCATTAAAAACGAATGGATTATAAAAGCACCATCACCGGAGACGTTTATTTTCAGTCTTGTGTCCACTAAAATATTTAATAAAATATTTCCTCATGATTTAGGTAGATACTTCTAAAATATGGTGCGGACGTGGCAGAAGATATGTCATGTGGTTTTTTAGGCCCAATTAGGAAGAAATAAATATAATTCTGGAGCCGATGTTCTTACGAAAAAGTGTATAAATCTCACGAAGTCCGGCACTAAACAGGAGACGCACAGATGTCACCAAAGTCCATGTCACTAAAGCTGCTTATCTTCACGTTCAAATGCAAAAAGCTACCACGCTGACAAACTACAAAGAGACCACTCCAAACGACGGCAACACAGTTCACAGTAAGAAGCAAATTCTAACTATCGCTTGTATCCCCGTTACTACTAAGCACGCACGCACGTACTGACTCTTTCACACAAACATACACATAACAACATTTCACTGTTTCTCACATACATACACAAATACAATTTATATTCTATTCCTGAACTATATTAACCAAAACAAATAGACATTACTTTCTAATCTATAACCAACTCCTTGTATTCTTGTCGTTATATTAAATTAATGTTTATTTGTTGATACGACGTCGTCTTTTCTACTGGGTTTTATTCTTTCAATGGAATTCGTAGGATCATTCCAAATGGCCGAATTACAAGCAGTCCTACAACAATATTTTATGTTATTGTATCGAATCTCGACACAGAGAATTTTGGCATTTAACAAAAACTTGAGCAGAAGGATTCCTACACCAGCATTCTGATTGGCTACACAAACTATGATACCGAAAGCGTCCCCATTTGGTAAACTGAAAACGTCTTTATCTCCAGCACAACAAGCACAAGATAAAAATACGAACATTATGATGGGAGGTTCGTCGACGTCCATCTTTACTCACCAAATTTAGCACCTAAAAATTACCACTAGTTTCGAGCTCTGGAACAGTGACAGAACATTCAGAAACAATGAAGAATTTCTATAAACGTGGAATCCAAATTGTGCATTTTCTTTGAACTGCATTCATTGAAAATGGAATTAAGTGATTTCATTTGTATAAATAACATTTAGATAAATTTAACTTACACCTGCTTTTATGTCTTTTCTCGATAAAATGTCCATAACTTTCTGAGCAGCCTAATACATACTTCAATATATGCAACGCCTCAGTATTCCGTTATCAACGTATTTTATCAAACTTTCTTTAACCTGAAGCCGAATGAATAATGCATTCATTCATGAATGAACGATTCCAGTTTTATTCCGACAAATTCTTTCAGAAAGTTTTAAATATCTTGAAGCTTTGAGACGACGGAATATGTGACAGAAATCTGAAGGTGTGTAGGATGAGTGAAGGCTCTCTTCCAGAAACTAAGCAAAGTATGAAGAAATAGGAAATTTCCGTGAGAAAAAAAAGAGGAAAGTGTAGTGAATTGCGATACCATATCCATCATTATATATGGCAGTCAATGCTAGACATTTTCTTCACAGTTGAAGAAGAAACTCGAATAGACAGTCATGTGATTTGACAGATAGATGCTGCAGATGCCTGTAAGGGCTATGGACGGAATATGTGTGTCTTAAAAAAATGGTAACTAAAAACTCACACATACATAAAATCTGTAAGAGACAACTGAAATTTCTAGGACACATTATGAGGAAGAACGGTTTGGAGATTTTAATACTCACAAGATGTATTTGAGGAAAGCGGGAATAGAAAGAAACAATGAGTAACTTACTAATGAGTTTGCGCGAATGAATGACAGAACAGGGACAATGAGTCAAAAGTTGCTACAACTTAGAGAAAGGTGTGGAGAGTCATAATCGCATTAGGGATATAAGTGATGATGATGATGATGATGATAATAATGATTGATTAAACAAGTAATATTGCATCAAACGAAATGAAGGAAAGCCTGAAGATGAATTTCCTTAATAATTGTGTTAATGAAAATCATGATGGCAAACTATTCCACTAAAAGGAAACAGCGATGCTGCTTCCCCTCCCGAGGCCAATGTACTGATGATTGGAGTGGGGGTGGGGGTTCTAGGATAATAACATAGGTATTCATTGTTAAGATAAGTCTGATTGTGAACAAAAAAAAAAAAATCAACCTCCTCGACCAAGTGTTCCAGGAAATAGGACTCATTATAAATCTTTCCAAAAGATCTAGAATTCGAATGAGAGCAGTGATGATATCTAAATTGAATACGTCATAAAAATTCAACAATACTAAACACTTCAAATACATCGGCGTATGGATCAGTTATAACATATTTACCATCATAGATATGGAAATTGGACATAGAATAAGATTCGCTGGGGGATAGTTTCGCCTAACACCGTAAATTGCTAAAGAACCAAAACACTAACCTGAAAACCTGAGGTATGTTCTTAAATAACCACCTCAGATCGAGATTTTCGTATGGATGTCATGTATGGCGTCAAATTTTCAGCTCTCATTCCAATTTCCGGATCATAGATTCTGGTTTGGAAAGATTTATAAGGATTCCTATTTCTTGGAACATTGGAGGATGTTGATTTTTTGTTCTACGATCAATGGTTACGTTAAAAATAGTTTTGAGCAAGTGAAGCCTGTGGATCTTGGCGAGGACTTTCTTCAGACATTGTAGACTGGCGCTACATAATCACAAACACAATTTCTACCAAATAACAGAAATCCCATATCTTTCAACAACTGCAACGACTACAATAGATAGCACATGGAACTCAATGAGAAAACAATGGCATAAGGAAGATGTTGACGTTCCAGACTAGTGAGGATTGTGATGGGGGAGGGTAATTGTAACTGGGATTAGAGATTACACGTATTCTTCTAAACTGTTCATACAGCTGACACATTCCATAGACCTGGGAAAGATTTCTTCTTCAGGTAACGGTTAATCAATTTTGCATTGATTGGATATAGCTCTATGTCTTGTCGTTATTCTTAAGAATAGCCTCCCAAGAGTCAAAGCTTTTTATGTTTGAAAACTTACTTTTTTCTTCTACTACTACTATTACTCTCTCTATCTATCAATCTATCTATCTATCGGGGCACCTAGGGCTGGTGTAATGATTAGCAAGCTTGTTTCGCTAGAAGAATTACGACTGAGTAGTGAGTTCGATTCTCACTGGGTGCCCCCTACTTTCGGTCTTGTGCCACATCTAAGCTACGCTTGGAAAGTCACATCTATCTCTCTATTTGCCCTACACACATTTTCAAATTTTCTTTTTTTTTTTTTTTTTTTTTTTTTTTTTACTTATTATCCTTTCCATGGCTACTACTCTTTTTTCATCCTTCTTTTTCTTCTTTTTTTCCCCAGGGTTACTCACTTTCTTTGCTCCTCTCTCTTTTTCACCTTTCCCTTGTTTTCTTCCCAGGTTTACTCAATCCATTTTCATCATTCACTTTTTCATCTTACCTTTTTATAGTCAAGGCTTTTTTGTTTGAAAACTTTCTTTGTTTTTCTACTACTACTACTACCACTGCTATCTATCTATCTATCTATCTATCTATCTATCTATCTATCTATCTATCTATCTATCTATCTATCCTACACACAGACGCACACACATTTTCACATTTTCATTTTTTTTTACTTATTATTCTTTCCATGGTTACTACTCTTTTTTTCATTTTTTTTCTTCTTTTTATCCAGGGTTACGCACTTTCTTTTCTACTCTCTCTTCTTCACGTTTCCCTTGTATTCTTCCCAGGGTTACTCAATCCCTTTTCATCATTCATTTTTTCATGTTTCCTTTTTATTCCACTTCTTTCTTTACATGGTTACTCACTTGCCTGTGATACCCTTTCTTCACCTTTCTTTTTTTGTTTCTTTGTTTCCATGGTTTCCAATCATTTCTACACTCTCTTTTTTAACCTTTCTTTTTTTCTTTTCAATGGTTACCGGCTTCCTTTTCTGTACTCACTTTCCCACCTTTGCTTTTTACTTCTTCCTCATTTCAATGACTACTCACTACCTTTGCTACCCTTTTTCCCTTTTTTTATTCTCTTTTCCTACTCACTTTTTTTTCTACTGTCTCTCTCACCCTTCTTTCTTTTTCTCCTTTTACCTTCCCTTGTTTATTTACATCGATTGTCGCTTTCCCTCTTTTCCCTTCTCCTACCTACTTATATTTTCTTTCGTTTTCTCTCTGTGATTTTCATCTTTAATTTTTTTTTCTTTTGTTCTTTTCCCTTCCAATAAGTACTCACTCCCTTTGCCGCCATTTTTCTCTCAATGTTTCTTTATTTACTTCTTCAACCTTCCCGTAACTACTAACCCTAACCCTTTCCTTTCTCTCTATCTTTCCTCTCGTTTTCAAAGTCGCACTCGTTCAGTCTATTTCTTTCATTGCAGCCTTTATTGTACGAAATAATGTTTTTCTTTTTTCTAACTTTTCTCTCTCTTCTTGACACATGTTTCTGGGCTACCTTTCATGCTGAATCTGAAAATGACGTCCATGCTGCCTCATCGCATCATGTTTTCTCGGTAGAGAAAAATTCCTAATTCACAGGAATATGCCACGTCTTTAATATGCGAGTGACATAGTTAAAACATTTCATGTTAAAATGATTTATCATTTACGACAAGTATCCAAATAACTTCCAAAATGAATACTAAGCTATATCACTTCAGATAAGTTGACCTGAAAATGCTTGATTTTATGAGAGATATCTCACTTGAAATTATTCTTGTGCCCTCAATGTTCTTAGCTTGTTAAAACTGTAATTTGTGTTTCTTTTCTACTTTTCATAGAAGTTATTCAAGAACAACGATTTTAGTTTTCACTTTAAACCTGAAACCATCATAAGATTTTATATCACTTGAATTTCCAAAGGTCTAGTATTGTCATGCAGTCTCTGTATAACATGCGTAGAAACATCGATAAATGAGGGTTGTTAGGGTGTTAAGCAAGTGTATTTGTGACTAGCAAGATTAGAATTTCCTATCAGTACTTAATATGGTCACCAAGCACCAGATAGGCATAGCCAACTTAGGCACTTTGCAGATGGGATGTTAACGTGATGGCTGATTTCTGCTGGAGCATCAAAAGAAATCAACTTTTTCGAAAGCACCGTAGAGTTTCCAAAAATATAAGTCTCTATCATACTTATAAAACCCAGGTTGTGTGTGTTTGTTCGTTTATATATTGGATCAGATTTCCTACATTTTTAAACCGATTTCAACAAAACTTCACAGAACTACGTAAAATTACCTTGCAGTGGTTCTGACAGCGCCAAAAATGGGAAAAACACAATTGTTTTTGCACGAAATCAATTTGAAAACACGTTAAGAGGCATTGCTGTCGCAAGAATGAAAGGGGGACAACTCATATCGAGTAATACTTATTATAAAACCCAGGTTGTGTGTGTTTGTGTGTGTGTGTATGTTTGTTTAATAAATGGGATCGGATTTCCTACATTTTTCAACCGATTTCAACAAAACTTCACTTTTTGGGGGCAGGTAGTGTTTCTTATTGTCTTGCACACTTTTTTCTTTATTTTTACATTCAGAATGCTTTAAAAATTCCATTTACAAGACAATTGTTTATAATAAAATTATATTCAATCGGTAGACTTATAACGATTGAAAATAATGTTTTTGTTTGAGTTTGGGTTTGACCAATTCGTAAAAAAACAAAAAAAAAAAAAAAAAAACTAATTTAGACATGCGTGTCCGTCAACCTTGAACAATAATCTTTGTCAATTTTATTTTTCAGTCTTTATGATGGTCGATACTTGATCTATCTCTTACTGTTACATCCCCGGGCAACGCCGGACTCTACTGCTAGTACATATATAAAAGGCAGAATGTGTGTGTGTTCGTTTATATGTTTGATCGGATCTCCTACATTTTTAAACCGATTTCAACCAAATTTCATACAGTTACTGATAATTATCATGCGGATGTTTTGTCAATATTTAAATCAATATTATCGTTTTTTCATTTTTGATCGGACGCACGCGTGTGTAATTATGTGTGTTTACTGCACACAAGCAGATATGGGCACTTTTCATGTCAGAATTAATAGCGGTAGCATAATTAGAAAAAAGTCGGATTTAAGTGCTTATATGGAAATAAGAAAAGACAAGAATGGCCATATTTTGGTTTCGGATGCAAAAGTTATGACAATGAAGGATTTCTGTCGCAGCCAAACTTTGCGCTCCAAAAGCTAGTCAGATTAGTGTTATTAGTCACGCGTGTCTCGTGCAATGCGTAATACTTGCTGCTGATTGACCCATTCACGCTCCGAGGTCATGCGAGATCATTTGTGAACGGGGGGTGGGTGTCATGCGTGCGCGCATCAAGCATCCCAAATGAGGTAAAAGTTTCAGGTAGCCTACTTTTATTTCAGGATTTAACACTCATACCATGATTTTTAAAAAAGGATCTTTTAATGTTTCAATGCAGACATGCATTACTTTCCATGCTTTCTGCATTTGCACAGTAAAGTAAACGCCAAGGCCATTTTAAAAGGGATTTACAGAGCTACATGTCAAATTTTACCAGAAAAATCAGTAAAAACAAGGTGAAACTGCTGCTTTTTAGGTGTTTGTAGCCCATTTAAACTACTAAAGCATAGGATTGAATTCAGTGACCAATCACTAACACATTTCATGCCACTTCACACCACCACTTTTAAGCCAAGTGGACAGAATCGCCTCCGCCCCAATTGTCCAATTTGTCCATTTTTTTTTTTTACATTTGATTGGATTTTTTCATTCGAGGGGACACCGGGGTACTGTTATGTCTTTTCATGCCGTTTACGTGTAGCAAAATTCACCTACTCGCTATAATTTTACTACTGCGCATCGCTGCCCCCAAAAGTTCTCACACGTTTTCATCTAAATCTGTGCTATTTAAATACCTTCATCATCCATCAGTAAACGAAATTAACATTGCTTCAAATTTTGTTCGTATGAAATGTAAAAACGCTTGTACTTTCAACTTTTGATCAATAAAACTACCTCATATCTCCTGGCTGTTCAAAATTTTCAATGAAGCTTGAAAATCCTATTTTCTGTTTGGCTGACTTTGAGAGACTGCGCTACATCGGTGACGACGTAAATCAAAAAGGCAATGCCTATTTTGGGATAAGGAAGTACATAGCTTTCATATTTATCAATAAATAAAAAAAACCGATACAATAAAGTCGCCAGATACTATTTTGAAACGTCATCCGCCACTGTGCACTGCTTTGACTAACCCAGCTGGAGGTTAACTAATCGAGTCAACTGTTCTAGGTTGCTGCGAGCTCATTGGCATGGTTGCAAGCGTTTAACCTTGGGTCCATCCAATCATATGCGCAAGCGGTTCTCTTACGCACGCGTGTGCATGTGCGTACGTACGTCAACTTAGTATGTGCTCTCAAGGTCAACCGATCAACCGCCTCTTTATACCATAAATCGCACGCGTGTTCACACTTCTGCGATTACTCTCCCGCACTTGGCTCACTTCATTCGCTTCTTACGGAAACCGCAAATTGTTGATTACGCATTCAAACTGTTTTTTTACTTCATAGTTATAACTACATCCGTTTCCGCGTTTATCGAATTTACTTCCCAAATTACCTTCTACCGTTTCAGCTTTAGTTAAATTTTTTAAACTTCCCTTTTTTTGTTTTCGATCCCCTTTTGATGCAGTTACATATATTTTTGGGATCACTCTAACCTGCCTACGTTTAGACTACATGTATGTTTTGCACTAAAGAAAACTACATAACTTTTATTACGTTTGAGCACCTCGGTGTGCTGTAATGGTTAGCAAGCTTGTCTTGTTAGATCAGTTACTACTGAAAAGTGAGTTCGATCCTCACTAGATGCCCCATACTTTTGGTCTTGTGCCACATCTAAGCTACGCTTGGAAAATCTCTACCTTTTATTACGTTTGCCTTTTTAAAATTGGTTAAAATGCCGCCTAAGAGAAGAAAACTTTTCGGACGGCGCACGGCTGCTGCCTCAGCTACAAGAGCAGAAAAAGCAAGTGAAACCACAGAGGAAACTTCGTTGCGCCTTTCTCAGATGGCCTCACGCTCTGCTGCCCGCATCTCCACGTAAAGTATCGCTGAACGGACTGAAAGGCTGGCATCAGTAGCATCAGTTATGTCATCACGACGCGCTAGACTTTCAACTGAAGAGCGTTTAGTACAGAATTCACAGGACGCAATACGCGTTTCTAGGGCCAGGGCTTCCGAGTCCCAAACACGGACAATCCTTCGGCGTTTAAGGAATGCAGCGCTGCAGCATGTTCTATGGCTTTATAAAGCTCCGAACAAACCACTTCGCGTCGTCTTACGAATGCTAGGGCTACAGCATCTTCCATGGTTTCGGAACAACCTCAACAAACCGCTATTCGTCGTTTAAGAAATGCCAGCGCTACTGTGTCTGCCAGAGCTTTAGAAAGTCCTGTGCCGACCACTAATTGTCGTTTGAGGAATTCCAGATCTACTGCGTCTGCCAGAGTTTCAGAAAACCCTGGGGTACGGCGAGCACGGCCCGACAACAATGGCCAAATCTCAATGACAGACACTCAGCGTCGCGGGTCTGCATTTAGGTGAACAGTGTTTCACCCATGGACAGCTTTACGTAGGCTTCCCCTGAGTCTGGAGTAAGGTTAATGTTTATGTTTACTCTCCAACAAACAAAGTTAAAAATATTACCTGCGCAGAAGTCCTGTCGGTCGGTCACCTTTAAACGCAATGTAAACATCTTTATGTCAGCTGCATCGTAGGTTCCTTCATTTTTGAACCCTGTTTATTTAAAGGTCGTCGTAATATCCACTTGTCATTACTAAGACACAGGGCTTCATGTAATGTCTTGCACTCAGAGATAATAAAACCATCTCATCGGAATACAAAGCAATCTGCCACAACTCACCAAAATCTTCCTAATGCCCATGTTTGTATCGAACTTGACAACTTTTAATTGGAGGTGTCTTAGTAATGGCAAACGGCTGATGCTACCATGGCTGTCCATTGCTTCCTTTTAAGCCTTACAATTTTTTCTTCCGTTCTGCTGATGAATGCCGACAACTTGTGTACATTACGTTTTTTACGTGGGCGGCCATCAATTCTATTAGACTTCAGCCATACATGCGTTTACAAAATGAGTATAGCGGTTATCACCTTCCATTCAGTGGAAGTTTACTCCCGGGCAACGCCGGGCTTTACTGCTAGTTATACATTTTAATGGAAAAAATGAATGTATTTTTCACTCATTTGTATGTTTGTTTTAATTCAAAAATTGATGACACATGTTCGCCTTAATTTAATTTTGTGTCAGATTTGTCGAAAAACTTATTCTGAACTGAAAATTCTGAAAATGCATTCTTTAAGTTATTGCGATATTTTCTTCTTTTACGATAAGTTATTCTAAC